TCTGTCTGTCTGTCTGTCTGTCTGTCTGTCTGTCTGTCTGTCTGTCTATCTATCTACCTATCTAATTTGTGTGCTGCCCATCTTGTCCAAAAATGGCTCTGGGTGGCTTGCAAACATTAAAACTAGGGCACATTTAAAAAAATAACAACAGTGATAAATAAAAAAATGCGGAGAAGCATATGAGGAGGTCACTCAATCTTTCATTAGGTTATAGTGCTTCAGGATGTTTTTTTTCCTCTTAGATTATACCTAATAAAAATGCAGTTTCATTTCAAATATAAATTGCATTTTTTTCATTGTAATATGTATAACTTCCCAGTGCTTTGGGGATGGGCGGGGAGTTATACCACCACCCCATATGATAAAAATATTCCTGTTTATGACATTTCCAACAATTACAGCATTATTTTCTATCTAGATATTGATCAATTTGTATACCATCTGTAGAACATTTTTAGCCATTTTCTAAGCTGAAACAGCATAAATTTTATAGATTCAGTCATTAATTATTACCATTGTTACCATTCTTTCATTATTTGCAAAAAATAAAAATGAAGGATTTATATCAATATTAATCACACATAGACTGTTTAGTGAGTGCTATATATTTATTCATATCAGAATTATGTCATTTATCAATTTAGATCAGTTTCTCTGACTGTATGAGATAATTAAAAAGTAAAAGGTTAAATGTACAAAATAATATTAAACACATCAAATTTCTAAATAAATTTGTGGTTATTAAAAGCAATACAGGTAATCCTCGACTTCTGACCACAGTTGAGCCCAAAATTTCTGTTGTTAAGTGGGACATTTGTTAAGTGAGCTTTGCCTCATTTTACGACCTTTCTTGCCACAGTTGTTAAGTGAATCAGTGCAGTTGATATGTTAGTGACATGGTTGTTAAATGAACCTGGCTTCCCCATTGATTTTTCCTTGTCAGAAGGTTGCAAAAGATGACCTTGGGACGCATCAATGGTTGTAAGTACGAGTCAGTTGCCAAGCATCTGAATTTTGATCATGTGTTCATGGAGATGCTACAAAGGCCGTAAGTGTGAAAAACGATCATAGGTTTTTTCAGTTCTGTTGTAACTTTGAATGGTTACTAAATGAACTGTTGTAAGTTGAGGCCTATCTGCATTCAGTTGCTTTCCTCACAATATTCTTTAGACCACGGGTCTCCAACCGTGGCAACTTTAAGCCTGGAGGACTTCAACTCCCAGCATTCCCCAGCCAGCTGGCTGGGGAATGCTGGGAGTTGAAGTCCTCCAGTCTTAAAGTTGGCAAAGTTGGAGACCCCTGCTTTAGACAGCTTGAATAATTTTTTGTCCTCTTTCATCATTGTTCAGGTCCTGATTGACTGGATAAATGATGTCCTGGTTGAAGAAAGGATAATTGTCAAACAGCTTGAGGAAGACGTCTATGATGGGCAAGTGCTACAGAAATTGCTAGGTGAGATGTTATGGGTGAAAATGGCGGAGAAGGGAACTGGGCTGGATTAGGGAAACGCAGACTTAAGTCGTAAAACTGGTGATGCTATATGGTGCTATTTGGCTCACAACAGGAAGCCAACAAGTTTAATACATCTGCTTATGATCCTCATGGTATTCGTTGAGTCTGGTGTCTAATTTACTATCGGTAGTGTGGCAGCTGTTAAATCATCCAGGGGCAGTTTTCTACTCTGGACAGACCAACCCTGGTGCGAATGACCTGAAAGTGGCAACTGAAGCTCCCCTTTGAGTTCCACATAATTTCTGGAGTATGTTATTCCTAATGTTGATTTTTTTGCTGCCTTATTCTCTAGGTCAGTGGTGTCAAACTTGTGGCCACCGGATGCGTCCCGCACTGGCCACGCCCAACCCCGGTTTAGCAAAGGGGGGGAAAATCGCAATATGTCACGTGACGACAATGCGATGACACGGGTTGGACATTCCTGCTCTAGGTTATCTTATAGGAGAGAGTTGGGTCCAATGTTACTCAAGGGGCTTTGTAGAATGGGATTGTATGGGAGTAAGTAGGCTTCCTGTGCTAGTTTGATGTTAAAGTGGAAGCATGTAGTTATGTTTTGCTGGTGCTAGGAGTGAGTCTCCAATCAGTGAATAGTTTTCCCAAGATTTTAAGATCTTTGGACAGGAGTTGTCTGTCACCTTCATTGTTTTTGTTGTACTGCTGTGGCCAAATCATCAGAGTATCACGATTTGCACTTTGTCACTGGCATATCTAGTATATTTAAGTTGACTAATGTGGGTGCCATTATAGAGCCCTGTGAATCACCACCTAATGGAAAGTGCCATGCCTTGTGAGTGTCCTTACTTGCATAACTCAAACTAATACAGACTGTTTAGTGTTTGTGTGAGTGTTAGCAAATGAAGCTTTTAATTAAAAAACTGAATAATAAAAATGGCAAATGTTCCCCTGTTTGTAGGTGACCTAACTCTCCTCTCTAGCAACCACAGTTGGGATTGGGAACTCTGTTGCTACGTGAAACGGTCACTAATAAACTGTGCTTACACTTTGACTTCAGGTTTCCTTTGGTTTACCACCCTGGGAAGGTTTTAAATTAGAATAGAATTAGAATTAGAATTAGAATTAGAATTAGAATAGAATAGAATAGAATAGAATAGAATAGAATAGAATAGAATAGAACAGAACAGAACAGAACAGAACAGAATAACAGAGTTGGAGGTCTGTTAATAATAATAGAGACCTTGGAAGTCTTCAGTTCAACCCCCTGCATAGGCAGGAAATCCTATACCATTTCAAACAAATGGTTAGCCAATCTCTTCTTAAAAGCTTCCAGTGTTGGAGCATTTAAATGTGAGGATTGTCTGCAAAGTTGCTTTTTCATCGCTGTCATAACTGCGAATGGTCAGTAAAGAAGGACTGCCGGTAGGGCCAAAGTTGTTGCAAAGACCTTCGTAAAGACCTCTGCCTTACCTGAACAATGTTGCTGAGCCACAGTGACGCAGTGATTGGAGTGCAAGTACTGCAGGCTACTTCTGCTGAATGACGTCTGCCTGCAGTTCGGCAGTTCGAATCTCACTAGGCTCATGGTTGACTCAGTCTTCCATCCTTCTGAGGCGGGTAAAATGAGGACCCAGATTGTTTGGGGGCAATATGCTGACTCTGTAAACCACTTAGAGAGGACTGTGAAGCTGTATATAAGTCTAAGTGCTATTGCAATTGCTTCTGATTATCTGTGTTTTCAATCTAGAAAAACTTGCTGGTCATAAACTAAATGTGGCTGAAGTGACACAGTCTGAAATTGGACAGAAACAGAAACTGCAGACTGTCCTGGAAGCCGTCTATGATTTACTTCGACCTCATGGCTGGACGATCAAATGGAGCGTGGACCGTAAGCTTCAGGCTTTGAAAAGAATACTAAGAAAGCTACTGTGCTTTAGTATTTGATTGTCTTTCACTTTGAAGGTCCCAGGGGGTAAAAGATACCCCAAAGGGCAAGAATTGGAAGCATTGAAGCTCTATTGCTTGGCAATATCTCAGTGTTTCAAGATATAAATATGGGGGTCCATCTCTTACTTTTATTTCATTCAGTGTTAGGAAAGTATATGAAAACTGTTGTACAATTAATACGGATTAGATGAGGTTGCTTTATTTGCATACTTTAGCCTGGCTCTCTTCTTTAGTTTATTGTCATTGCACCTCATACAACAAATTTAAATACCACATTCAGTGTACATTATGACTGAAAATAAACACAAGCACACATCCTTCACATTCTGTACATTGATTTGAAAACCCCGAATATTGCATTAATATTGCACTATACAGTAGAATTCAACAGAGCTATTGCTGTGGGATAGAAGCTGTTTTTCAGCCTATTTGTCCTTGTTTTTATTATCCTGTACCATCTGCCAGAGGGTAATAGTTCAAAAAAAGGGTGCCCAGGATGAGATGCATCTTTGAGAATGTTTTGAACTTTCTTAAGGCAATGGGAGCTATAAAACTCTTCCAAAGAGGGGAGAGGGCAACCAATGATCTTCTGGGCAATGATAATAATAATAATAATAATAATAATAATAATAATAATAATAATAAT